TGTGGATGCCTTTGTATATGGGGCATAGATGTTCAGAACTGAGACTTCATCTTGATGGATTTCTCCTGTGATGAGAAATTTTAGTTTAAAGTCTAATGTGTTAAATATTAAGATAACTACACCAGCTTGCTTCTTAGGGTCATTTGGATGGAAAATATTTTCCCAACCCTTGACTCTGAGGTAATGTATGTTTTTGAAGTTGAGGTGTGTTTCTTGTATGCAACAGAAGGATGGATTCTGTGCATAGTAATAGAAAACTTTGCTGGTTATAGTAGTCTTGGCTGGCATTCAGGGTCTCTTAGTGTTAGTAGAATATCTATCCAGGACCTTCCGTCTGTCAGAGTCCCCATGGAGAAGTCAGGTGTATTTCTGATAGGTCTGCCTTTATATGTTACTTGGTTCTTTTCCTTCACTGCTCTTAATATTCTTTATTTATTCTGTATGTTTGGGGTTTTGGTTATTATGTGGCGAGGGGACTTTTTTTGTGGTCTACTCTATTTGGTGTTCTGTAAACTTCTTGTACTTTCATTGGCGTGTGTTTCTTCTGTGATTTTGTTGAATGTTTTCTGCCCCTTTGAGGTGTATTTCTTCCCCTTCTTCTATACGTATTATTCTTAGGTTTGGTCTTTTCATGGTGTCCCATACTTCCTGGATATTTTGTGTTAGGGATTTGTTGAAATTAAATTTCCTTTGGTCGACGAATCTATTTCCTCTAGTTTATCTTCAGTGCCTGAGATTCTCTCTTCCATGTCTTGTATTCTGTTGTTTGTGCTTGCATCTGTAGTTCCTGATCATTTACCCAACTTTTCTATTTCCAGTATTCCCTCAGTTTGTGTTTTCTTTATTGTCTTTATTTCAGTTTTCAGGTCTTGACCTGCTTGAATTGCTTCCTCCATATGTTTCATTGGATTTTCTTGGCTTTCTTTAAGAGATTTCTTGTATTTTTTTTCATTTGTTTTTTTCTCCCTTTCTTTAAGGAATTTTCTCTTATCCTCTTTGAGGGCCTCTATCACTTTCATAATGTCTGCTTCATCTCTGTTGGGATATACAGGTGTTGCTGGTGTAGAGTCCCTAGACTCTGGTGGTGTAATATAAGACTTTCTGTTGTTAGATGAGTTCTTATATGGATGTCTTCCCATCTCTTCTTCCAGTGGGTATATGTGGGGTCTCTCCCTATTCTTGAGGGCATGGGTTCAAGGGTCTATCCTCTTTTCTCTCCCTGATGAGCTTGCTCTATGTCACTGACTCTACCAGACGGTGGAAGGACAAGGCATTAATGGTGACTTATGTAAACTACTTTGGACTGCCTCCAGGTCTCTCTACAGGATTCTGTGGCAGGAAGGGTCTGGTGGCCTCTGCACATCAGGAGACTCAAAGAGGGAGAGGTTGGCTGGTGTAGTCCCTTGTGCTCACCACTGTACTGGAGGGGCAAGGCATGAATGGTGACTGGTGCTGGATGCTTTGGGCTGCCTCCAGGTCGCTCTGTAGGATTTCGTGGCCAGAGGACTTGTTTAGTATTTTTTTTATGGGACTCCTGACTATAAGAACTAGTGAGTTTATGACTTTTATGCCTGCTCTTGGGAGTCTTTTCCTCCTGTTGGGTTACCATGTTCAACTTCATTATGATAATTTTTTGCTTTATATTATTATATTTTGTTTTTCATGTTTGGTTGTCATATCTTGGGAGAATGTTCTTTTCTAAAGAGAGAAACAAAGAAAGTGAATCTGGAGATGAGAAACTAGGAGGAGTAGAGAGAGGGTAAAGTATAATCAGGATATATTGTTTAAGAAAAGTATTGATTTTTCAATTAAGGAAAAACAAAAGGAAAAAAAGGAGATTATGTCCCATGATCATGTTTATTTTTTTTTTCTTGGAGGTAAAATAGTTTTCTGTATCTAAACCTATAATTAAAACACATCACTATATTTAAAGATAGAAATCACATGATTATCTTAACAGACCATAAAAAGGCCTTTGGCAAAAACATCCATTTCATGATAAAAAACCCTGAAGGGGAGTAATGTATCTTAAAATAATAAGGGTTGTTCTTCCTATAATAGTCCTGTAGTTCTATTTTAATGTGAGGTTTGCATATAGACAGGTGTCCAGAAAAGCTTGCAAGGTCTTGTTTCTTTGCAGGGCTTATGAATTCTAACTGGTAGGGATCCTAGATTACTTTTGGTGGTGTGCCCATTTCTGTGCCCAGACATGGACCAGAGTGCCCCAGTTTTAAAGTAAAGATGAATGGTTCTGTGAGATGAACTTTTGGTCATCTCTTATTTTCCTCAGTTGGTTTTATAGTTGGCTCCCATGAAACACTAAGGTTTAAGATCATGTCTTGGATTTTTTAAAATGTAGATTTCAGTTATGTCTGGCATTTTCTAGAATGTCACAAAGCATAGACACTTTTGTTACTTAGTATGTTAATGTATGGAATCTATTGCTGTATCTTAACACCTGAGGAAAGGCATTTTAAGCTGTTTATTGGTCATGAATAAAGTCCCAAAACAGAAAAAATAAGGGCTGTATATAACTAACCTATATTATGTATTGCCCAATGTTACATCGACTTACAGAAATTGAAAATTGCTTCTCAAAAATTACGAACAAGATGAAGGAGACTAGTCTCCTTATTTTGATTAAATATAGTGTTTATCAAGATGTCTTTGCTAGGACAATAATTAAAGGAGTAAATAAAATAATTCCTCTTTTCAGAATATCGGATCTTATACTTAAAAGATTTATAGACAGAACCAGAAAACTTTTATACTTTGTTGCATATTTTCAACAAAGTATCAAGATACAAGTCAACAGCAGAAACCATGTAACTTTTCCATGTTTCAACCAAGGACTTTGTAAGAAGTCAGAAAGAATTCCATTCACAAACTAAATAATAACCAAGAAATAAAACCAACCAGGAACAAGTAAACAAAATCCAGAGAATAAAGAAAATAAAAGAGGTGAAATACCTCTCTAACAAAAGCTTTAAGAAATGGAGGACAGAAATTTAATCATTACTAGTTGGAAAGACCACATTCATGGATTGGCAAATGATTGAATAACTGGAACTGGCCTATGGAAAACTCAATCCTCATACAAATCCCAATTACATTCTTCACAGAACTTGAATAAACTATGTGGAAATTCAAATGGAAGAATAAATGACTACAGCTACCTACAGCTATCTTAAGTCAAAAGAGGAATGCTGGAAGCCTAACATCTGATTTTGAACTATACTGCATTAACGTGGTGATCAAATCATTGGACTGTCACAAAACACTCATGAAGGCCAATGGAGTAGAATAGAAGACCAAGGAATAACTTACATAGCTACAGCCTAATCATTTTTTTGACAGAAGTATCAAAACATACATACATTAGGAAAAAATGGCTTCTTCAACCAATTGTACCAGGAGACTGAGTATATCTACATGTGAATGGATGATAACAGAGCTACATCTCTCACCCTGAACAAAATTAATTAAAAATGAATGAAATATATGAGGCAAGACTTTGAAATTGATAGATTAAAAAGATCATAGAGCACTTCCTTCAAAATAGAGGCATACACAAGCACTTTCTTCAAAGGACTCCAAAGCCACAGGAGATAATCCCAAGAGATGACAAACTGGTTGCATAACATCACAGTGGAAGAAACAGAAGAGTAAGGAGACAGCTTACAGCATGAGATGCAAAGTTTGCCAACTGTATATCACACTGGGGGTTATATGTAGAATATATAAAAACTTCAAACATTAAATGCAAAACACCAAATCATCGAGTCCACAAATGGGCCATATTTGAATAGACAGTTCTCAAAAGGAGAAATCCATTCCTATGGCTAGTGAGAGTATTTAAAAAGAGTGAACTGTCTTTAGATATCAGAAGACACAAATTCAAACTGCTTTGGAATCCCATCTCAACCGACTCAGAGTGGTTACCATGAAGAAAACTAACGACCACAAATGCTGGTGAGGATGTGGGGAAAGATGAAAGAGGAATCTAAACTGGGGCAGCCACTACGGAACTTCCTCAAACAGCTAAAAATAAAACCAATGTAACATAGTTACACAATTTCTGGGTATATACCTGGAGAATTCCAAGTTAGAACATGTTTTTTTTTTATTGTACTAGGCACAGCAGCCAGATTCAATGTTCTTTAACAAATGAGTGGATAAAGAAAATGTGTATATACAAACAATGGAATTTCTTTTAGGCATTAAAAAATAAAGTGATAACATTTATAGGGCAATGGATTCTCTTGGAGATGATATAAAGTAAGGTAAATTAGGCTCTGACAAATACCACATGTTCTCTTTCATTGGAGTTGTGGTGAATGTAGTGAGTCTTTCTCTGCCTTGCCTACCAGCTCCCAAATTACAACACAGAGCCTTGTTATTAATTATGAAAGCTTGATCAATAGCTCAGACTTGTTTTTAAGTAGCTTTTTAAACTTAACCCATTTCTATTACTTAACGTGCTGCCACGTGGCTCATGGCTTGTTACCTCATCTCCTACATGTTGTGCTTCCTCTGTGTCTGGCTGGAGACTCTGCCTTATCCCCAGCATCTCTCTGCACTCAAAATCCTGCCTTGCTATTGGCCATTTAGCTTTTTTATTAAACCAATCAGAATGCCATATCTTAACAGTGTACAAAAAATAATTTCACAGCAGGTAATGGAGTGGAGGTTTCGATGGTGGTGGTGATGGTGATGTGTGTGTGTTTCATCAAAGTACCAAGAGGTCTATGTGAGTGGAAGAAGAGATCTTAAGGAAGGGTAGTGGAGGGAAAAATGTATGAATAATGGAATATGTGTGGCATGGAAGCATAAAGGGGGACTATTTGGTTGATGTAGCCCTCCCCAAAAGGGCAGACAGGATAGGGAAGAGCAAAGTAAAATAACATATATATGTGAAAATGCCATAATAAAATCAATAACTATTTATTTATTTATTTGGAGACAGCGTTTCTCTGTGCAACAGTCTTGACTGTCCTGAAACTTGCTTTGAAGATCAGGCTGTCCTTTAACTCCCAGAGGTCCACCTGCCTCTTCTTCCTGAGTGCTAGTATTAAAGGCATGGGTGACCATGCTTGACTTACTGATAACTTTTTATGTTAGCTTAAAAAAGGAAAAGACTTCTGCCACTGTGGGTCAGGTCTGGGTCTGTGGTCCTACTCCAGCAGGGGACTCTACTGATGTCTGTGGTCTGTGTTACCACCAAAGGACATTCAGATGTCTGTGGTCGGTGTTGTGGCCTGACACCATGTTGTTATCTGTGGGCTGTGTTGCTGCTGGGGGGCAATGCTGAAGTGGGTGGTCTCCACTGCCACCTGAGGCCATGTTGATATCCATGGTCTGCTGCCAGAGACCATATTGGCGTCCATGATCTGTGTTGCTCCAGAGGCCATGTTGATGTCTTTAGTCTGTATTTCCACCAAGGGCCATGATGGTTATGACGGTGTTTGTAGCCTGTGCTGTGGCAGAGGTCCCAGTTGATGTCTGTGGTCTGTACTGTTACCAGAGATCATGCTGAGGTCTGTGGCATGTGCTAACTCAGGAGACCATGTGGAAGTCCATGGTTTATTCTCCCACTGACTGCAAAGGGCAAGGAATCTATTTTTGCAGTGGTATCAATTTCTGCAGACCTACAGTTGAGAAAGAGGAATATAGAAGACTTTGGTAATAACCTCTTACCCTGCCCCCCAAAGTAGCAGCCTAGACAGGAAACCATAGAAGATAACTTTTAAAAATTGTGGTAAGGATGATGAAGGGTAGCTCTCCACAACTGAGGTCTTCTGGTGGGGGCGTTTTGGTACGGAAAGACTCAGTTTTCTTTAAGGGGCTGGCTACTGTGAGTTTGGGCATGCTCCAATAAGTATATAGTCAACACAAATAGGACTTGTGCTTTTTTCCCTCTTTTCTCACCGGGGGAGTCACAAGGGTGGGTGGCAAGCTGGGAGGACTGGGAAGTGAGTGTGATCAGGGTGCATGATGTGAAACTCCCAAATAATCAGTAAAAATATGAAAAAAACCCAAATAGTCAAATTAATCCCATGCTAAAAGAGTAATGATAAAAGCATCTTTTCAAATGCACTACAGGGCCATAGTAGCAAAAACAATGTGGCACTGGCATGAAGGCAAACAGGTAGACCAATGGAATAGAATAGAGGATCCAGAACCAATCTTTGACAAAGGGGCCCTCTCCAAAAAAGAAAGACAGATAGGTGGAAAGAAAGAAAGGAAGGAAATAAGGAAGGAAAGAAAGAAAGGAAGAAAGAAAGGAAAGAAGGAAGGAAAGAAAGAAAGGACAAAGTCACACATTGGAGAATGGACAGCCTCTTGAATAAATGGTGCTATGAAAACTGAATGTTCACATGTAAATGACAGAAACCAGGTTCACATCTCAGATCCTGCACAAAAATCACTCTAAAGTGGGTCAGAGACCTTAATGTAAGACTGAAATCCCTGAGGATGATGGAGGGAAACATTAGTAAAACACTTCAAGGTATGGGTATGGGTATGGGTACGGGTACGGGTATAGGTATATGACATATGCAAAGGACTTTAATATCAGAGGCAATAAGGAAGAACTGAATATATGATTTCATGAAATTGAAAAGTTTATGCACAGCAGAGCAAACAGTGTGAAGAGAAAACATTTGTCAACTATACACATGATTCAGGATTAATATTAATATGCAGAATTTATAGGGAACACTAATAATTAAAAAACAAATACCCAAATTCATCCATTTGAATATATAATTCTCAAAGGAAGTGAGAATGGAAAGTGTGCAATATCCTTTGACTTGAGGAAAATGCAAATTTAAACCAGTCAAAATGGCTATCTTCAGGAAAAACAGGCACAAATTTTAGTGAGAATATGCACACAAAGGAACTTTTATTAATCACTGATGAGAATGTAAACTGGTCCAGTCACCAGAAAAGTCTGTGGGGAGTTTGCCAAACAAATAAACAGGCAAACAAACAAATACCTCCAATAGAACAGCCTATGACCCAGTCTTGGATACATACATGAAGGATCCTAGGGTGGTGGGCCACAGACACATTTTCAAATCCATACTTGTTGTTGCACTGCTTATAATAGTCAAGATATGGAACCAGCCTAGATGTTTATCTGAAGATAAGGAATATATATATATATATACACATATATATATAAATCACATATGCCATACATACATGATGGCATTTATTCAACCATAAGGAAAAATGAACTCGAAACACACTCAGGAAAATGGTTAGAATTGCAACTGCTGGCTTCTTCGTTCCCCTTCCTTGAGTTTTCAGTGCTTGAATATGTAGATCTTGTCTTCTATTCATATTATTATTAGCGTGACCACTGGTTCACAAGTACTCAATAATCTTTTGTTGAAGAGAAGCGTCTACATAGTTGAGAGAGAGAGAGAGAGAGAGAGAGAGAGAGAGAGAGAGAGAGAGAGAGAGAGAGAGAGTATGTTGCATGCACCTGAGTTTGTAGTATGTCAACTAAGGAAGATACATGTGGAGACCAGATTTGATATCCGGTGTTTTCCTTCATTATTGTCAGCTTTACTGCCTTGAGACAGGGAATCTCATCAAGATGGAAGTTTGCTGTTTAGGCTAGGTTGACATCCTGGGGAGCATTTGGTATCCTTCTGTTTCTGCCTCCTCCCATCCACAAGATGTTGGAATTATAGCATTTACAGCTATGCTTGGCATGTTATGTGGGTACTGGAGATATGAACTCAGGTCCTCATACCTGCAGAGCAGGCGTTTTCATTGGACTGTCTATCCAGCCTCATCTTTATTTTTTAAAGACATATATATGTGTGGATTTTGTATAACTTTTCCCCAAATGCATTTCTTATTGATTAGGGTACATGTGTATGTCAATTATATTACAGTTGTCTCAAATACTTATATAGAAGGATGACAGTTATTTACAATGCACTATAATCTGAGAGGAATATGTTATAAAGTGAAGTCCATAGGATGATTTCATTTTATAAATGTTAAGTGTATATAAATTATACCCATGTGTATAAATAAAATTATAAACTAGAATGTACCATGCCTATTATATGCATTAAAAGAGTTATTGTTTTCTAACACACATATTACCTATTTTATTTTACAGTGCTGAGAATTAGCCTTGTGCAAGCTCACCATGTGTTCAACCTAGGAAGTACATGAACAGCTTAAAATTTCCCACTACATTCACCATCTCTCTGTTTTCCTTCACAAAGAGGTCAAATGGGACAAGGGGGACAAGAATTGTAATCCTAGTTCAGCTGTCATGAAATACAGTAATTCATTCAGCTTTCCCTGTGGCATGTTTAAACACATAGCAGGAGCAGTGATAAGCATCTGTTTCCTCCTTCAAGGGATGTTTCGACATAACAGGCATCACTTTAGAGTACTTGGGAGGAAAATTGGAAAAGTCCTGGATGCTTCATTTATTATTAATATCTCTTCCCTTGCCTGCTATATTTTAAAATGACTCAGAATATTAATATGTGGGACAGGGGACTACTTGGGAAAAGAGGAAGGAATCTGATGAAATATAACACAGTATAAAGCAGTTACATTTTTATCACCCTAGGAGCCAGCAGTGTTTTGTCCTTTATCATTTCTCATGAAGTAATGATCCCCCGGAGTCTACTGTGCATGCCTCTCTGCCTATTCTGTTGAAGGTGATTTACAAATCACACTTCTGCTGCCAATGTTAAGAAATTTTGAACTTTTAAGACAATGTGCATTTATTTAGCATGTTCTATCAGCATTAAAAACAAAACTACCTGATAAAATTCAAAGTGAAACAATTTCTTTATGTTCTAATACCAAATAGCATCTCTGCCTTTACCTTAATGAAGCAGCAGAACAAGAAAGATCAGAAAGTCAACATATTCATTAGATAAATCATTTTCCAGTTAAGACTCATAGGGATTTTTCCAAATTGCTGTTATAAAGGAACACGCCTTCCCCTTTATTAAATGTCAAGGAGGTAAATTTTCATTTTAACACATGCACACACACACACACACACACAAAACTTTAAGGAATTAAAAGTTCATGGTCATAGAAATATTGAGGTCATTGTGTTGTACAGTATAATGGTATTAATAACCATTAGGACCCATTATGGCCCTTGTTCAATGTGCTGATACCATTTATTATCATTCCTATTACGCCTTGCTTGCTAACACTACTTAATAATTTGATTAATTTCCTGGCTTACTTGTATGATCTATACTTCCAGACACTATACTCACTTGCAAGTGCTCAACCAGCAAAGTGTGACAACAGCAGTAGTTTTGTGAGAAGTAATGAATTTACAGGAAGACAACCACAGGCAAGCCCTCTTACAGTGGTAGCTCTGTCTGTGGGAGAGGAATCACATACACTTTAGTGTCATCTCAAAGTGCTCCTAACTGTACACTAATTGGGGTGCAGGGTAGAAACTGAGATTTTACATGTCAAATTTGGGCATGTGGCCACCCTACTTAAAAGGAAGTGGAGCAGGCATCCCCCAAATAATGACTTGTCTGGTTCAGAAGGCTTACAGCTTTCTGTCTGTCTGGAATAGAACTATTGCACTTTAAAATTCAATCCTAGAGAAGTTTTAGATGTATTCATTTATACTTGGTATTCCTTGATCTAGTTAGTAGAAGCACACATTATAGTTTACCTAAAGCTAAAGTTCATTTTATTATTATTATTGTTGTTGTTGTTATTACTATTATTATTATTACTTGTGTGTGTGTGTGTGTCTGTGTTTCTATGTACCACAATGTATGCATTGAGGTCAGAGGACAACATTTGCAGTCAGTTCTTCCTTCATGGGTTCTGAGGACTGAACTCAGATTGTCAGGTTTTCATAACAAATGCTTTTACCCACTGGGCAATCTTGCCTGCTTGCAAAGTGGGATATAATTGTCACTGGTAAGACTAGGGAACATGGCTTTGCTGTAAAATCCCTGCTCTCTTTAGTTTCTGTTTATTTCTATGTACCTGAGGATGCTGCCCATTGCCACCTTTATAGACAGCTGTTTTTGCTTCTTCATTCTAAATATGGGAGACCTATATGATGTTCAATGTAGTGATCATGATTACTGGCAGCCATACTGCATTTAATAGCTGTAGCCACCAAATGCAGGTTTCTTTATTCCTGGTGTTTCTTTATCCACAAATTCTCAACTTGATGATCTTGTAGGAGCTCCCCTTACATTGGTCATTGGTAAAATTTGACTGGGGATAAGGCTATGGAAGGACATAATGGTTTTTTTTTTGTTGATCATATCACTACATTTGGAGAAAAGAGTAAGTGTAGACATTCAGCATTATTGGGAGGAACAGGAAGATATTTAAAGAGAAAAAGACATCCATTGCAAAAAACTTTGGGGAGATGTCAGAGCTAAGAAGAAACTGTGGCTAAATCTTTGATGGAAACCTTTTCATGGATGGATTGATAGACTGTGAGATGTCTTCTGACTTTAACTTTGAAGGTAAATATCTCTACCCTTTTCAAAAGTAAAAATTTAATGGGAGAAAAGGGTCATATGATGGGGGAAGTCCTACTGTGTGTATATAAATAAAGCACTGTAGGCCAATAGGGAAGTAAGATAGGTGGGACTGGGAGTTT